AAGGGCAAAATCCACAAATACCATTATAAAAAAGGGCAAAATCCGTAATTAATTATAATATATATTTTTAAAATCTCTTATGTAATGTATTGTTCCATGAACGGATGAACCTCATAAATTAATATATAGGAAAGAGCGTCTTAGTGACTTACTATCTAAGCTGCATGGAATCGGAAGCGGGTACGTGGAAGCGGAAGCGTTCGGAAGCGCAAAAGCGAATTTTTTTAAAAATATAGGAAGCAGATACGGGTTGGAAGCATATATATATATATATATCTGTATTTGTAAACAACTATCCAAATACATAATTTAAATATTGCAAAGATAAAAGTAACCCAATATTGCAAAGATACATAATTTTTTTTTGATACAATCTCTCTCTCTCTTTATCCAGGAAGTACCACACGTACTCAATAGTCAATAGCCTACTACACACTACAGCCACCCTAGGACACTCATTCACCTGCTTTGGAACTCTAAAAAAAACATCGACAAAGTAGACAAAACACACTTACACATTGATGGGCCTTCTCACTACCACAGGCCCAAAAACAAAAACGTCCAGCCCATAGACTTCATCTTCTTCTTCTTCGATACACCACGAAGGGTTTGTAAACGCAGACCGCATCAATCAACACATATCCATATTCAAATTAATCATTTGACGCTTCCATTCTCTTTTTGTGCGGTTCCAAATCGGAATCATGCGTTTCCCGTGAGCTTCCAAATTCACCTTTTTGAGAATTGTGATTCCATCGCGCTTCCGAACGATTCCGAGCGCTCCCGCTCCCGCTTCCGCTTCCGCTTCCGCTTCCGAAGCGAGAATCGGAGCTTTCGTCACGCTTCCATGCTGCTTAGCTTACTATGTTGGTTAAAGTCATGGGCTTACAGTCGTCTCCATGTCACTTGCGTGAAATTAGAATGCTCAAAAAAAAAAAAAAAAAAAAAAGAAATTAGAATGCTCCATAAAATGTATCGGAAATGTATCTTTTGACTTCACAGTAAATACTTTTTTTTTTTTTTTGTGTAAAAGACTTTTCATTAAACTTAACGAGTACAGGTAAAATAATTTTTCAGGGCATGCTTTGCCAAAACATCAGCCTCCCGATTTTTCTCTCTAGGGAAAAAACAAAAGCAAATTTCAACAAAAGAGGTAAAGATAGAAATGATATCATGTAGAATCCCATGGAGCTCCTTCACAATAAATACTAAACTAAATACTTTGAGTGGAAATGGTAGTGATTGAGTATAGCTAGAAAAATTATGTTTACGAAATTAGGAAGGAATTAATAGTGATTTAGGATCAGGTGGAATAACTTTAAGGTTAAGCGGTAACAACTAAATCCGGTTGAATTTAAAATACGTAATAAAAATAGATTCATGAAATATTAGTTAATCAAATTACTTTTTGTCGACAAAAGTAGTTAAATAAACTAATGACAACACAAATTTTAATTTGATATTTTTAATACTCTTATCCAATGTTCAAAAAATTGTTAGGTAGTGAAGAGGCGATAACTAGGCGTTCGATATGAACAAATGCTTAGAATGACTAGTCAGAGCCTAGGTAGGATGACCATTGTTAACCATACTTTAGATGACACAAAATACTCCAAACACAAACCTAAGGTACCTAAAAATGCCTAGACACAATGGAAAAGGAAAAAGTCATTACACAGAGTTAAAAATATGTCACTGTTAGAAGTCACATGGTTTAATCAAAACATTATGGTATCCACCTGTTCTTCATCTTTGTAAGTTTCACTTTCTATAGTACTCTACTCTAACTTCTCTATAAATTTTCACTACTGTCGTGATCCACACCATTTTTCTTAGTTTTTAGTTCCTTTAGGTAGGTTTCAAGCCGATAAACTTTTTTTTTTTACTTATTCTTGATCATATACTTATCTAGAGCTTTTAAAAGCGTATAAAAATGTAGAAAACCACTATGGATATAATAGGGGAAAGAGAAGATCTTAACCACTCTACTACAATAACTTTTCAAAAAATGATTGGTTATAGTATCAATAGCCTAAAGTTCTTCATTCATGAACTTTTAGCTTTGGGCCAGGCCTGGCCATGAGGATCAAATTGAACTTGTTTTTTTTTTTAATGATTTGGTTCCAATGTGAGTTTCATGATCAAAGCACTACTTTTTTTGGTGAGTTGATCAAAGCACTACTTTAGATTCTTCTTGAGATCTATCATGCCTATGCTTGAATTTTAGCCAAGGGGCTAGGAATCTTCCTATTGTAAGAAATACAATATTATATATATATATATATGCTGGAAATTATATATTTAATGGAAAACTACAAAATATTTTTTTTACAAAAAGTGTATAATCATGTTTAGGAGATAATTTCGGAATTACGTTTTTCAGAAATTCCGCAATAATATTGATAATGATGAATTTGGCAATTTTTTTTTATAATTGACAGTTTATCATTACTAAATTGTTGTATAAATTTTAAATATAGAAACGTAAATTAGTTTATACAGGTAAAAAATAAAAATATGTAAATAACTCTAACCACTAGCCAGTAGCTAAATATACTCTCTATTTCTTTTATAAACAAGCTTTGGATAATTTTTCCCTAGAATTAATTTTTAAATAAATTTTTAATATTTAAATATTATTTTAAAAATAAAAACCGGTCCATCAGATACGTCCTATTCTAGTATTACTTATAAAAAGTTGTTTATAGTCATTAAAAGTCGTGCGTTATTGAATTGATGATTTAGTAAATTCATTCAAAGCCACATGTGTTATTGGACTAAAAAAGACTATAACTAATTAACTTCTAGATTATATTACATTTTAGTGTTATTTTTTTAGTGATTTTAAAGATTTTTGTTTATGTGATATTAATTTTTAAGAACTTTAAAATTAGTAAATGCTATAGTGATTTTCTCAGAGTTATTTTTGCCTAAATAAATATTAAAATATTTTAAAACATTACCTAAAGTGAATGAAAATCTACAACAATATATTTACAAAGACTACAAAAAATCTCAGAGAATATGTGAAATGTATTAAAAACTCTCAACGAATTCCTTAAATTTTCCAAATATTATAATCAATAGAATTCTACCTAAATCACTATCAAATATCATTCCCTAATGTTTAAAATATTTGAAAAAGGTCCACAAAGTTCTATATGTATTATTTCTGGTTTCATAACAAAATCTCTATTAAAAATTTAGAAATTTTTAAAAACATTTTATAAAGTAAAACTCCCAAATATTATAGGATTAAAATAAATTCGCTAACACAACAACAAACAAATATCTCTTCCTTTTAACATTGAAACTGACGGATTAATGGCCATAAATCTTGCATTGAATCCACATGTCCATGAATGCTAATTTTAATGGAGCGGTTTTGCTTTTGCAAATATAAAAGGGAGAAGAAAGAGTTTATTCTGATACACAATTTCATTGATTCTCATAGACTACAAAACATTTTCCCTTCATGTCTTTTTTCTATGGTTTCTCTGAGTAAAGATATGAACGAACTAAACCTCATTCGATGTAAGAAATCCCAAAAAGGACAGGGTTCATAAACATTCGCTCTATGGCCCATGATAATGTTGAGTCTGCTACGTGACTTACATTTTTGTCGGGCAGATCACGCCAATACACACCTGGTCTCTTTGGGATTTTCTTACAGCGAATGAGGTTTAGTTCCATCTCTTTATAGATATGATCAGTGAGAACAATCATGTTTCCTCTCCTCTGCTTTTGGAATCACGAGACTGGACCAGGTCACTAGTGTCAACCTCATAGCTAGCGTCAAAAAGTAAAAGTTCATATGTTTTTTCTTTGGTGGATAGTCATTAGCAATAGCATCATCATTTATATTAATGTACCCCTTATGTGGAGGAGGAGAGCTACTCTTTTTTCTAGACCTCTCCATAGATTCCTTATCCTCTTCTTCTTGAGATCTAACATGCCTAAGCTTGAATTTTAGCCAAGGGCTAGGAATCTTCCAGTTTTATTAGTCGTTCTTCACCGGTCAACAGTCGTCAAACCGTTGACCCGTTTTCTCGGGAGTTTTTCAGCAACCACACTTGTTCCAGCTTCTTTTATGTTCTAGATTGACCATCTGATCTCAGTTTCATGTTATAAATTTAGGAAGTTGCTTCGGACCCACCGATTTAACCAAAACGCAATGGTTGTCTCTCTTAATTCAATCGGTCTAGATGAGTCAGAGAGACAACCTCACAGTTGAAAATCAGGAAAATGAAGGTTAGAGATATGAATACGATTGAACATAAAGTTAATTGTGGTGTGATTGTAATTGCTTGGATATTGTGTTTAAACATGGGAAGGTGATGGTAAATTACGTTTATCTACAAATATAAACATGGGAAGGTGATGGTAAACATGGGAAGGTGATGGTAAATTACGTTTATTGTGGTGTGATTGTAATTGCTTGGATATTGTGTTTAATTAGTATAATACAGCGACTAGCCATGTAACTGCAAAATCCTAAAAAGTAAAAACCATCAAAGAGATGGTATTCATTGAGCAAGCACACATCAATGTCTATCACTCGAATAACAAAAACAGTGTTTCGCCGAAAATGCTTCCTAGACTGGATCTATAGTTTCGAGTTTTCTTAATTATTTTTTCCCTAAACCATTCAATGACCCATACTGAGCACACTCACACAACTGTCATAAACTTTAGTACAGATCAAAGACCAAATAATATGTGCCACAAGCATCACACTGCGATTACGATAGAGAGACATCATAACATAATTCAAACAGTCTGACTAAACGACCCGATTATCGAACATTCTGAGAGAAATAGTGAGCCATAATGTCAAACTCGACAAAACACAGTAACAAGAACCACAATGTCCCCAAAAGAGACAGTATAATAACAAGTATACTTCATAATAACAGATCAAAGAAAGACCAAATAAGATTTCACCATATGCATCAAATTGCAATCTCAACAAACAGAGTATAATGAACAGATTCCAAACATTCCGAGAGAAAGAATGAAACATAAACTCAAGAGTAACAATAATATCATCATAAGCATCAAATTGCAATTTCAACACAAAGACAGTATAATAGGATTCAGACAAGAGTCAAAGCTCAAGTCTAAACAACCCAATCTCAAACATAAAGTCTACAATATGCTCAAAAGACAAACCAAATGATCAATCATCACTTCTTAGCAGCTCCTTTACTTCCAGCTCCACCACCAGAACTTGCAGCTGCAGCTTGAGCAGCTTTCTTAGCTGCCTTCTCTTGCAATGCTTTTCCATCTCTGTATCATTTCATTACACAACAACAACCAAACAGATCGAATCATTACACAACCAAACAGATCAGAGGAACCCAACTAAAGATTCGTTTATACCTTTCACGACGTTGCTCCGGAGTCAGACCATCTTCAGCATTCTTACCCTTTCCTCCAGCACGAGCCGCGGCTCTTTCACGGTCACGCTCTCTCTGACTTCCACGTGACGATTACGCATCAAAATTCAAAAGCTTGAATCAAAGAAAACAACAAACTGTTTCACAAATTCAGAATCCTTATAAGCAAGATCTAGTCATTATACAAACAGAAACAGAGAATCAAACAGAGCAATCTTCTCCAAAAAACAAACCCTAAAATTGAAAACTTTAACCCCTAAATTCAGCAATCAAAACCCTAAAAAGATTGTGGAGATGAGAAATCGATTGAAGCAAAGAGAGAATCAAAGGATATGAGTCATGGTTGAAACGAAGATAAATCTGCGATCCCGGAGAAAGTTGAGATTGGTAAAGTCAATGCGGAAGAAAAACGCGAAGCAGAGGATTTGAGGAAAAGGTTGGATTTTTATATATTGCTCGGATTCGGATTCGGATTCGGATTCGGATTGTGTTAAAGTCGACTTTGTCCTACGCCTCTACTTTTCCATATTCTCTAATTTTTTCGATAATATATTATTCTTTTTTTGTTTGTTTTCATATTCTTTTGTTAATAAAATCTATATATACATTTTTAGAGTATACTTAGCAAACAAATCCTAGAGCTTGAAAGTATTTACGAAGCAATGCCACTAGCATTAATTATTTAATTTCGAAATTTTAAATCAAAGATATTAATTACCAAAAAAATCTTAACATAATATCTTAACCATAACTAATCATTTTCATACTATCATAAAGATATTAATTAATTTTGACAAACCAATTTTTTTAAGGGAAATTGTTAAAAATGCCCCTTTTGGTGTGTCCCTTTTCAAAAATGCCCTTTTTAGATGTCCATTTTAAAAAATGCCTCTTTTTAAATCTGAAAATTCTATAAAGTTTTATTAGGTTTATAAGGTACTTATGGATTGTAACTACTACTTGAAGACTCGATCCAAGTATTTATAAGGTTTTATAAGGTGTTTTTAAAGGTTTTACAAGTTATTTTAAAGGATTTTTAAGGTTTTTCAAAGGTTTTACAAGATATTTTAAAGGTTTTAAAAGGTATTTAAAATGCATTTATAAAGTATTTATAAGATTTTAGATACATAGAAATGTAGTTTGTGTATGTTTTAATAATGTTACATACATATTTGGGTAAATCTTATATTTTTAAGAGCATTTTTTATAAAGTTTTAAAGAAAGGACATTTTTGAAAAGTGGCATTAAAAAAGGGGCATTTTTGCAAAAGCCCCTTTTTTAAGTAATTCATTTTTTAAATATATTTATTTTAATGTACATTAATTAAATTATGGTTACCATTCGTTATTTGACAAACTCATTTTGCTATATTACTTATTATAAACCAAACTCATTTTGGCTATAAATAATTTGTTTAGTTATAAATTAGATTAACTCCAAAAAAACATTATTACCAAATATATAAATATTAATTATGTCTATGGAATAATATGTTATTTTAGATTATTATTATTTCATAAGGTTTCAAATATTATGAATATTTTAATTTTATAAGAATTTTAAGTATTATTAATTTTAAACTTATAAGAAATTTAAATATTATAAAACTTTTAAAGTATCTATAATATTTCAATTCTATTAAAAGGTTTATATATTACTAACATTTGAACTCTATAAAAAATTATAAATATATATACTATAGAGACAATTTTAAAAGCAAAGCTTTTAAATTGACTCGAATTATATGTCTTCTAAATAAAATTATTATTAAAAAGAAAAATAACATGATGTTTAATTTCACGGGACGGGATTATATGGTGTGACAGGTTTGTGTCGATATTAATACGGAACGATATACTATGAGTGAAATCTTAGAATCAACAACCAAAATACAATTATGAAGTTTGGGTCGATATTAAAACTTTTATGAAGTTTCAAATATTATAAATATTTAAAATTTATAAGAATTTATAAGAAGTTTAAACATTGTAAATATTTAAAGATGATAAAACGTTAAAGTATTTATAATATTTAAATTTTATAAAAAGTTTATTATATTAATGATATTTGAACTCTATAAAAATTAAAAATATATATATTATGGGAGCCATTTAAAGCAAACTTTTAAATTGACTCAAATTATATATGTTTTTTAAATTAAAATATTATAAAAACAATAACAAAATAATGTTTAATTTCACGGAACAGGGTTATATGGTAGGACGGGTGAATCAATATTAATACGAGGCGGTACCACGAGTGAAATCGTAGAATTAACTATCAAAATATAATAAATGCTAAACAAAACAAATAATATTAACAAAATAAATTCAACTTAAAATTTCAATTTTTAGTTATCAAAAATCGATCCGCGGGTTTAATGCGAAATAATATATATATATATATATATATATATAATAAGTACATGTAAATCAAACAAAACAATAGATAATTTTCAAAAAATTATAGTATATTGGTAATTTTTTTACCAACTTGAGAGAGAATATGGAATTGAATCAATAATGAAGTACACAATTGGCACGGGCGTTTGCCTATCGCTATTCGCTGCGACTACAATCTTTTCCAAATGTCGCAACGATCGATATTGATCGAATAACAAATGTCGCTGTTAATGGTTGAATTGGGCCTCTCCCAATTCAGGCCCATCCCGAAAATGACGGCCTGGATAAAATCAAAGTTGACCACGGTTACGATGATTACAGTTACGGTTGATTAATCACCGGTTACGATTATAAATATTCTTTAACCGTAACCATTATATATACAGTTAAAATGATTACGGTTAAATACGTTTACGGTTACAACGATTACGGTTAAATACGGTTATTTGATAATTACGATACGGTTAATATCGGAGGCAAAATCTTACGAGTTATTTAACCTTTTATACTAGTTTTGATAAGATAAAAAAGTACGTTATAAACCAAATTTTCTTCATTTATAGCAATATATCATTAGAACATAAAGACCATTTTTTCTAATGTAGATTTTTTAATATGCGGTATCATTTACTTTTTAAAAAATCTTTATTTGAATATTCGATATTTGTTTTTGCATTATACGTAGTTACAATTATATTTTTAAAGTTTTAAATATACGGTTAATAGTGTGATTAACCGTACGGTTAACTAACGATTTTGATACGTTTACAGTTAATTGACGGTTACGGTTAGTATATTTTTTAACCGTAACTAATCTATTTTGACGGTTAACGGTTACGGTTTTAACCGTTTTATACGGTTACGGTTGAGAAACGGTCTGGTTACGGTCCGGAATACGGTCACAATTAGCTTTTGGTCATGCATACTAAGATCTAGTTAAGGTTAAGACATGCCATTAGGTCAAAGAGGGGCATTTTTGAAAACTCCTGTCACAAGATCTTAGGGGCCCTGTGAGACCCAACTCCCCATTTAGGCCCATTAAAGATTCATGAAACATCCCGGTTCAGGAATATGGTGGTGTGTGCCGAGATGTTTAAAAGAATTGATTTGGCCACCTATATCACCAAAGTGCACTTATCTTTTCGGTAGGCCTGGGCGTTCGGATATTCGGGTCGGGTTCGGGTCGGGTTTTTCGGGTTCGGGTTTTTTGGGTTTAGAAAACTAAAACCCGTTTGGGTATTTTAATACTTCGGGTTCGGGTCGGGTTCGGATCGGGTATTTCGGGTTCGGATTCGGGTTTACCCGAAGTATCTAAATATTAGAAAGTTTGTATCCGATTCTATGCAAAGTATTGAAAAATACTCAAAAAATCTATAAAACCCAAGTATTTTATACCCGAATCTAGCCCAAAGTAGCTAAAACACCCGAAAATATCTTATCATCCGAATAATTTAGGCACTTAGGTTATTACAAATATAAATATTACTAATATATTATAACTATGTACTTATATTTGGGTATGTTCGGGTACTTGTTCGGGTTCGGGTTCGGGTCGGGTTCGGGTTCGGGTTTTCGGGTTGTGAAGTATAGAACCCGTTCGGGTATTTTAAAACTTCAGATTCGGGTTCGGGTCGGGTTCGGTTCGGTTTTTTGGGTTCGGATATTATGCCTAGGCCTACTTTTCGGTGAACTGTCCTGAGAGAACTCCACAATTAAATATGCTTGAGCTGGAGCAATTTCAGGATGGGTGACCTTCTGGGAAGTGATTGTCGGAACCGTGTGAGTGAGGACAAAACATGGGAAAAGATCATGTGGTGATTTGTAGGGTCGGTAAACAAGTCTTCAAAGCCTCAAGGACGTAACGGACCGGCCGTCGGAAGATGGTGGGCCCATGGGCCGAGAGAGGACGTGGGGCCTATTAAGAGTGGCGGTCAGGGCTTTACAAGTGGTATCAGAGACGAGTCCAGGCGAGTGTGGAGTCAAGAGGGCTCACACAGTAGGGGTGACGGTCTTGGCAACGAGGACATTGCGATCTATTAGTGGGGACGAATTGTAACACCCCGGTTTCAGGAATATGGTGGTACATGCGGAGATGTTTAAAAGAATTGATTTTCCCACCTATATCACCAAAGTGCACTTATCTTTTCGGTTAACTGTCCTGAGAGAACTCCACAGTTAAGTGTGCTTGAGCTGGAGCAATTTCAGGATGGGTGACCTTCCGGGAAGTGATTGTCGGAACCGTGTGAGTGAGAACAAAACATGGGAAAAGATCATGTGGTGATTTGTAGGGTCGGTAAACAAGTCTTCAAAGCCTCAAGGACGTAACGGACCGGCCGTCGAAAGATGGTGGGCCCATGGGCCGAGAGAGGACGTGGGGCCTATTAAGATTGGCGGTCAGGGCATTACAAGTGGTATCAGAGACGAGCCCAGGCGAGTGTGGAGTCAAGAGGGCTCACACAGTAGGGGGTGACGGTCTTGGTGCGCAATGAGGACATTGCGATTTATTAGTGGGGACGAATTGTAACACCCCGGTTTTAGGAATATGGTGGTGCATGAGGAGATGTATAAAAGAATTGATTTTGCCACCTATATCACCAAAGTGCACTTATCTTTTCGGTTAACTGTCCTGAGAGAACTCCACAGTTAAGTGTGCTTGAGCTGGAGCAATTTCAGGATGGGTGACCTTTCGGGAAGTGATTGTCGGAACCGTGTGAGTGAGGACAAAATATGGGAAAAGATCATGTGGTGATTTATAGAGTCGGTAAACAAGTCTTTAAAGCCTCCTAGACGTAGCGGACCGGCCGTCAGAAGATTGTGGGTCCACGGACCGAGAGAGGACGTGGGGCCCGTTAAGAATGACGGTCGGGGCGTTACAATCTAACTTCCCTAATAATAACAAAAAACCTAACGAGAACATGTATATATATGTGTATTATCGTTTTCGTCACCGCAGCGTATCTTCATCACCACCATCATTCATAGCTTTGAGAAACAGAAGAAAATATTGATCCCTAGCCACCACAATTCACCATCGTTGAGGCTGGGGCTGTGGTTATTATTGTTGTTGAGTTGGAGAACTCGTCAAGTCCATCTCATTTATGGTGTATTTCAGGAACCTCCGTTTATTTGCTTTTATTGTTATTTTCTTATACATTTTATCCAACGGTTTTCAATGATTTAAAATTTTTTTAATAAAAGAAATGAATTCAAGAAAAATATGACATGAGGAATAAAGAAAGTGGAATAGAGGAAAAAATAAGTAATGTGAATGTGAACGCACGCCGTCTCAATGTAGAGGAAGACGGATGTGACAAATGGTATCAGAGCGTAGGTTAAAGTCAAACTGGTTCTGACCCAAAAGGTTTATATTTGTCAGAAAAGATATTTTGTATGATTCTTATAATTAGTTAATATTTCAATTTCAAAGCTAAACTATAAGTGAAATATTAAGAATTTTTATTATTTTCATTAGAAAATAATATGAAAAATTGAGTATATGCCTCTTCAGTCTCAAGTTTGCATGGTAAAAAAAAAGAAATTTTTGTTTTGCTAAAATTAAAATCGTTATTACATGGTTGAAAAATATAGAAACTTGTACATAGATACTACTATCTAATCTAAAACATTTTTTATATAATATGCTGTTAATTATTAATTCTTTTTTTTTGTAATAACACGTAAATAACAACAAATATATATATATATACATATATATATATATATAATATCTTTATATTTAATATGTTTTTTTATTTATACAGAACCATAAATGATTCACTAGAATAATTTTATTATTTTGTTTTTAATTAAAAATAAATACAATCGATATTTTTTTGAATATTTTTGGTGGTCAACACGGGTCAACGTTGGTCAATGCCGAATTCCAACGAACGGTGTACCCGAATAAGATGGTCGTGATGTTGACCATATGCCGTCATATAGTTGGTATATGTGGGTATGCGATACATTTAGTTTGTGTCGTTGGTTTATACATTTCTAAACTTGGGATGTATGGTCATGTATTATATTATGTGTCGTGTAACTGAGTATCTTTTTCTATTAATTTAAAATAAAACGCACGTGGAATTCAGCTTTCAACTCTATCTAAATGATGTTTTTTAAAAAAAATTTGTTCTTGTTTCAAATTATTATTTTTTTTAGAAAATTTTTTTCTGTACTTCAAATTGTTCAGCTAACAACATATCCTAAATTGTTAGATCACGAGGTAGTAATAATATACCTTATGTAAGTTTATGTAGGGCCGAGTAAAGAAAGAGGGCAAATGGTGCGATGGCTTGGGAATTAATCCAGTGTTCCAGTTAATAATAGCTCATTTTTAAATATATGTTTTAAGAAAACTTAAGCAAATAGATAATTAAGTAAGAGAATTTCAAATGGGTCCACAAAACTTTTGTATGTATTACTTGATAATAATGTTCAACAAAGCGATAGGCGCTAAGCGGGCAGTGACCCAGTTCCTAGCTAGCGCCTAGAACGCCTAATCGGGCTCTAGACGATTTTTAGACGGTTTACACATTTATAACATAAAACATTATAAGTATGATATTATATATAAAAGTTGTATAAAATATCTAGAAAGAACTAAAAATATGAAATTATAAACAAAAATTAGATAAATTATTTATTTATATTTATATTAAACAATATATGAATATTTATAACTATATATAAATAAAATTTAATTAGAAATTAAAAAATATATTAAACAAGTTCTATGTAATTTTAGGCGGTCAAGGCGGTCATCTAGACATCGCATGAGAGCGTAGAGCCTAGTCGGAACCTAGGCGACCCCCATCTTCTAAACAAAATTTAATAACACATCTTCTTTTCTAACAAAATTTAATTATAAATAAACAGTTTTATATAGTAAAACCCCCAAAACGATGATAGGGTTCAAAAATATTCGCTTCTCTGACCCATGATAATGTTGTTGAGTCGGCGCCTCGGCGGCCATGATCTATGTATTGTGAAATAGCTACGTGACTTCTTTTAAAATTATAACATTTTAAGTGGATAAAAAAAGGTAGGAATAGGACAACAACTAACTTCTTTAAATTCTCGAATACATCTCAACATTTTCCATTTAGACTAAATCTCCTATACGTTGGATAAAACTTTTTCCACTCAATATGATTGAAAAAGGTTCCTTTTCTTTATAACTTTTGATCTGTCTTTACCCAATTCTCAAGGCGATAAATCATAGTCCATAGACATCGTTGCTTTGCTTGATTAACAAACATAATCAAAACCCAAAGAATATAATAAGATTTACCATTCAAAATGGAATAAACAAACCTCGCCCCCCTTAGTCTTTATTAACTACTATAATCCTAAACCAAAGACTTTGAGTTTCCAGAAGAGGATTTTGCTACCAATAAAAATGAAATGACAATATAATCTAACATTCATTTGGATGTTCTTTTAATATTGGTACTGTTGACGAGAACTCCTGAGGTGTAGCTAGGGCTTCTTTGAGCTTCCGACCAAGAGCAAACGCCAATGGTGGAGGGACTGCATTCCCAATCTGCCTATGTTTATCTTTTATCTTTCCTGAAAACTCATAGCTGTCCGGAAACCCCTGCAGTTTTTTTATAAAACCACATTTTCACTTAAAAGAGTTGTATTCATAAGCTAACATTACTTAATTTCCTAAACCAAAAATCTTTACACTTATATTGATGATAGGGGAGTAACATGGAAGGAACATAAGAGTTTTTATTACCTGAGATCGAGCGCATTCACGAACACTGATAATTCTGTCCTGGTCAGGATGGAAGCACATTCCCACCCACCCCATGGGTTGAGGAGTGGTGATGGAAGTGGGTAAATTGCCTTGCCAGTCCAGCCTACCATAGAGTCCTCTATAACCGTTGTGCTCCTTAGCTTTGTTTATCAAACCAGAAGGAATAAGTTTTACCACAACCCCATTTGATAACTTCACCTGTAATTATAAGAAATTGCGTTTAAAGTGATGTGTAGAGTTAATAAGAATTTCCATAGCCGAGTGTATAAGAGTAAGACTTACGTTTTCGTCCGGTAGGTCACGCCAATCAGCACCGGGGGTCTTTGGAATTTTTTTACATCGTATGAGGTTTAGTTCGTTCATCTTTTGACAGATATGATCAGTAAGAACAATCTTGTTACCTCTCATCTCCTTTTGGAACCACGAGACCGGAACAATATCATACTACAAGATACGGGAACCATGAGTTCATGTTATTGTATTTAATGTAATGTATAGATACTTTCTTCTAGTGCATACCTCTTTGTTTATCTTGGATTCTCCGCTTTCTACTGGTGGAAGATCGCCAATCGTGTCTCTCACCGTGATTGAACGGAAAGGTGCACCAAATTTAGTACTTTGAACAGCAGCATAATGCAAACGTCGAGATAATGAGATTTTAAAACCCGGATTATTAAAGACATGCATCGGCTCAGGCCATTCCGGAAGAACTTCGTTTGGTGCAGCTGCCCAAATGAAAGCTCTTTTACGAGGTTGAGATATTCCATATGCTCCTGCCTCCAAGAGTCCAAATCTTACCTACATGTTTCAACAGACTTGTTATATGAAAACCATTGCTCTATTGCATATGTCACCAACTTCAACTAAAGAGCAATCACGTATAAGAACGACCATGACATGAAAATAATAGCATTAGGAAATAAATATTACCTGGTAACCCATTTCAAGAAGAGAAGCCACAGTAAGTTGAAATGTTCGCCCTTTATTGAATGTCACAAATTTCTTCACGTTCTCGAGAAGAAAATACTTTGGCCGGAAATAATCAGCAAAAGACAAAAATGCTAATATCATTTCACATTGGACTTTACTCCAAGAGCGGTCACTAAACCTGTTCATACCAGAAAACCCCTGCCAAATTTTCCAAATCATTAAGAAGCTCTTCACTCATTCCACAAAATGTATAACAACAATTTAAAGATATACTTGGCATGGAGGCCCTCCGTTGATGAAATCCACTTGACCAGGCAAAGGCAGAATACTCTTCTGGCTCTCATCAAGTTTAGCTGCAAGTTCAGCTGCCTCCGTAGTAGATATACAATCATCCACATCTCCACATTTCTCCATTATAGCCCTGTCATTAATAATCTCAACCAACTGATCCCAGCACAAGATATAACCTAAACGAAAGAGTTAAGTGTATTTTTTTGTTGGCTTTTTACCTAAGAATCACATTGCAGTTATCAACAAAAACCGTTGTTTTGGGATGGTTTTGTTTAAAAGCTTGCGCAGCTGGCTCTTCATACTCGATCGCCCACTTTGTATCCGATACACCTTGTGTACATAAACAATGCACATGATTACATGTTGTTCAACGTTTTGAAAGATAAAGTGTATGACCAGAGATAAATACATACCCGCCTTTTCTAGTCCATAAGACAGGCCACCACATCCAGCAAAAATATCTAGTGTAGCTAGACGCATCTCTTTAGGTACCTCATCAGGCTTCACACTCATCACAGAGTCAGTTTCACTCAATACTCCCTTCCCCTTTTTTTCTCTTAAAAGTTTTTCATCTTTAATAGTAGAGAACTTCAGCTTCATATTGGAAGGCAACTGTTACATGATAGTTCAGAGAAACAGCGGTTCAACGTTTTTACGGAACCAACAATAATCATAATCTTTAAAAACTATTTACAAAATCAATTAAAATATAGATACCTTCTCGAGATGATCATTGGAGGAGTCATAGAAACGTTCACAGAAGAAGATATGGTCTAATACTGGATATTCACGGCATAAGGGCATATCATGTTTCTTCATTACTTCACATTTTCCTTTTATAGCCTCTGGAGGGAGGATATATGTGTCCTGGCTATAATAAACCTAAAGAAATTGCCAAAAAATAGAAAAAAAAACTATAAGATAAACTTTTGAACATTACCAAGTATGTTACGTAAAAAACAGTTTTTCTTTCTTTTTTTTTCACGTAGAAAATAGTTGTTACCTCTTGAATTTCTGAAGCATAGGCCAATTCTGCAGAAATGTCCTCAGGCCTATAAAAACGTCTCAGGCCAACCTCAAAGGGAGCACTACTACCTTTTTTGGGTTCTTTTAGGACAATATCCAGTAATTGGGAAACCACAAAAGGTTTAAGCCCAACATTTCTACCATACTTGAACATTGACCTTCTTTTACCCTTACCTTTGGTTATGTAGTTGGGGATTACATAAACATAATCCCCAACAGAATACTCGATTCCGTCCGAGAGAAATCCTGTCTTTGAATCATTGAGTTTAGTTTTTGACCTTTCCTCTTCATTCTCTCTTATCTTACATGAACTGCAGAATCCAGAACCTAGACCCATATCACTTCTTGGAAGACTAAAGAATCCACCTCTCTTAGGTGAATAAAAGCTTTTGCAGTAATATTCTGTTGGCAGATCTTTAGCTTTTCTTTCTTCTTCTCTTGCCCGGTCAAGCTTATCTGCAGCCATATTCTCTTTCCTATATTGATGCCCCCACGACCTTGATCGAATCTCAAAATTTACTGTTGCTTTTATGTCCTTGAGCTGAACAGTAAGGCATACATTAGTCAAGAACAGTTCCCTCTCGTTAGCAGCGGTCCCTAGAACAGTCTCAGATCCTCTTTGTAAAAGTTTCCCGTGTAGCATTTTATAGTGATCTGAATTCTGGAACATGTACTCCACAAAATAGATCTCATCTTGATCACCAACTTCCAAGATGACTGCCCCACCAACAACCACCTTTCCACCTCCAACAAGGGCTTGTCCATAGAGAGGCTCACCAGCACGAGTTGTTCCCAGAGTCTCACCTTCCCATATAATTCCTATTTTCTTAAAAGTAGCAGCGTTTTGAACCTTAGCAGCTTTTGCTATAGTGTCCTCTTCTTCATTCTCGTCCTCCTCTTCAACCTCTTCTTCAGCAACAATCTCCTCCGACGAATCCTCTGCAGAATAAATGGAGTTAAACTCACCCCAAATTCTATTGATAAGCCGAGTTGTTGTCGCTTGCATGGCTTTCATCTTGGATACCACACGTGGCATGTCTACCCTTAGATTCAGATTCTTTCCCTTCTTCAAAATTTTCTTCTTCTTCTTGATGATACATTTTGTGTGGTGCATATCCTGCATTTTACTTGCAAGACAAGTAACAAATGGACACCTTCTGATCCCAGGATATTCTCTCAAAAGCTGCAAGATAATTTGGCCATGGACGACCACATATCTCTCTACATCCAAGAGTTTAGAAGAAATGTAAGCTTTATCATTCTCTTCTAACCCACTTAGTCTTTTTATGACATATAAGTATGAAAGCTTAGGAATCCTCATTTCATTCTCGAGCAAGGCCAAAATGCTTCTCCCTACCCTTGCTGTTTTCAAAACAGGTTCGAACCAAGGAGCATATTGCTTTGACGGTCTCCCAAGCCGATACCTGCATATATATATATATATATATGATCAGGCCCAGCTCTAGGGGAGTACCAGGGGTGCCAAGGCACATGGTCCTATTTTTTTAAAAAATTTTAGTGTTCAAATTTGCAGAACTTTTTTTTGTTTAGAAAAACACTAGGAAAAACAGCGAGCAAAATAATAGGTTGAAAAGAAGAATACAGTAAACACATGACACGTGAAGTTAATTTTTTTAGATTTAAAGGTTTAAAGAGGACTATTTTCGTTTGTAGCACATGCCCAATAAAATATTGAATCGGGCTTGTATATGATACATTAGCAATAGAGCCGTGCCTAAGATTACGAAGGCTAGAGACGGTATTGAAAAATACTTCAATTCATATATATATATATATATATATATATATAAAGTAAGAACAGTGGCTAGTCGCAAGATAAATAAAGAACTACTAGAGTAAAAACCAAAAAATTAGTTTTAATACATAATTTATCCTGCACTATTTTCTGCAAAATCACTACCCACATTTTTTTCATCCGATGCAACCGAAACTTGAACTTTTAACAATATGTGATAGGAAATCTAAGGTGCTAACCTAATTTAATCCATATCTCTGATCAAAATACTCACTTAATCAAACTCAAATTCCAAATCAAGCCTCACAAAATAATAAATAACAAAATATTTTGATCATGGATTGCAAACAATGAAGACAAAAAAACGTAATTAGTTTCCACAAATTTAATAAAATATTTGAGAAAAAAATGAATTGATTATTTACCCTACTTTTAATCTAGGTTTTGAAGTCTAATTCGTAATGTGTTTCTAGTAAAACAATTTAGAGGACTATGTGGTTCTATTAAACAAGTTAAACAAAAAATCTTAAGAGTACTACGTTTCTATTTCGGGGCTTAATACACAAACAATAAGAGCTTTTAGTTTTATATAAAAAAAAGTGGTCGTAGGCAAAAGTTTCTATTTTTCTAACATAGGCACGAGCTTGATCAGCAAGCAACAAATAAGGCAGAAACATGCAATGAAATATAGTAAGCTTACCAGGCCAAATCTGTTCGTAATATAACAAATACCATTTCTTCCCCAATCTCAACTGTCCATTCCTTTATTTGACTCAGGTATATTCTCATCCCATCATTTGACTGCGTAGAGCTCTCTGAACCATCGAGACAAAACCCGGTTCCATCATCTTCATCCACCACACCAGACCCAAAGACGGTGACATCAATATCATCACATGGCTTCATCGGGAGAAGCTCGAGAGATATGAAATGTGAATCAGAGTTGTATAGTGCCCAGTTGTGAAGTGTTCTCCAAGGTAGATACCTAGTATCAACCTCATAGCCAGGATCAAAAAGTACAAGCTCATCTGTTTCTTTTTCGGTGTTCTTATAGTAAGATGGGTGAGGATAGTCATTGGCAATCTCATCTTCGTTGATCTTAGTATAAAAATTATTTGAAGCAGAAGTTGTTAAGCTTCTCTTATTTCTGGCCCGATCCATAGATTTACGATACTCTTCGTCTCGTATAAACTTAGTATATCTCACGTCCTCGTCCTCAGCATCATCCATTAGTTGATCAGATGTCACGGCCTTGCTCTCATCAATCCTCATAGCTACATTAGACGAAGCCTTGTGAAAGTTACTACTCTTATCTCTTAAAGAAACAAGAACAGGATTCTCAACAAAGCTTGTTTCATGACTCTTGGCTGTCTCATCCAAACCAGCGAGTTGGTTATATATGAATTCTCCTTGGAATATAACAAACTCTTGGATGGCTGCAACGCTAGAAAAGATCTTGCTTCCGCTCATCATCGACCTAACAACTGCCGCAAGAAGCTCATCAAGACTTGTATCAGGATTCTTGGACAAGTTCTTAAATACCGCCACACAAGCATAAGCTTTCTTAAAGAAATAATCATACATCTTTTTGTAGCTATTAGCCGGTTTACGACAATCGTAATCGGCTAACGCTGTTGAGATCCATATAACCGGGGAACCATCTTCATACCCAGATATAGTCCAGTTCTCTACTCGACCAAATGATTGAAACCTCACACCCTTTTCATTCATTATCTCATCACCTAACGGTAAGACAACACCTTCAATAAAAATGTCACCAAGTTCCAACATCTCCACAGGCTGTGGAACTCCATTTGAATCAAGTAAAACAAAATCAGTTAGCCTCCGGTTTGGACGAGGTTGATCATCATTGCTCTCCAAAGAAAAAGTTAACTTTATTGCCACGATCTCCTCCGTCACGATCTGCTCTTTCTTGGCTTCAACAGTAGCAGATTTCTTAGAGATACGTAGAGATTTCTCCTTGAAGCTTGTACATTCTGCTGCTCGCTTTGGCCTCTTTTCCCTAGAGACATCATCAGAGTCAACACTTCTCTTCTTTTGTTTCCCAGCTTTTCTCTCCATTTTCAAGAAAAACCTAATTTTACAACAAAATTATCCAAATCATTAGCATGCAATTTAAATAAATTTTTTGCATGAATACATGTAATCAAACCCCTCCAAATGAGTTATTTTCTACATCACATAGATCATCGTCATATGTATTATATCAGTAAACAATTAATATTAAAATCCTTCGAATCTAGTTTGATATCGACAAAGAATTTGGAAAAATGAAACTAGCAAAACTTACGTTTAGTGAGAGTAGTAAAACAAGAGAGAAGAGCAAAGGGCTATGAATAGAGCTAAGACAAGAGAGAGAACAAGGAGCTAAGGATTATGAATGGAGCTATGAAGATTCTTTAACAAAAATTTTATGGAGCTAAGACTCTTTTTTTTTTTATATAAGTAGAACAAAAGAACGTCTGAAATTTTTTAACATTTAAAGGCTGGCAAAAATCTTATGGTACATTGTACATTACAAAAATTCATTTAATGTGATGAGCTCTAGTTTAGCCTTTTCTTTTTATGTTAATTGAAATTTAGCTTTTGGGGCATATGCTAAATCCTATATTTCCATTATTTAATAAAACAATAATGATTTTAATAGAAGATTGAAAGAAAATTTGACCAATTTATATAAAAGGATTTCTTACTCTTTTTAACAATGAGACTATCTCCTCGATAAACATAAAGTTGACCCATTTTAAAAAAAAAAAAAAAGACAAACTATTATATTCTCCTATATTTTCTAAAACAAATATTTTTGGGCTCACATAAATGGTGTGATACATTGTACATAAAGATTTTAATTAATTTTGATGAGTTGTAATTTAGCTTTTATGCAATAACCCATATAAATCTCATATTTTCAATAATTAATGGAAAATTATATTATGTAGATTGCTCAAAAACTAGTTCTCTATATTCATCATTATTTGCTTACTATTATGTTTAAAAATTGTGACGAATGTAGCCTTGTTTATAAAATTAATCGCAGGCGAAAGAGAGTTAGGGCTTATGTCATAAGTGGTTGTCACTTGTCAAAATGCATTCTCCTTAGCTAAGAACAACAGCATTGGTTAGAAACTCTTTTGAACTTCTTAAAGTTAAAATATTAACATTTTAATATTAAATCAAAATCGACCACTATAAAGGAGACAAATAGTGCATGAGCATCTCAAATGGGCTAGCAGTCTTTTTTTTTTTTTTTTGAAATTGAATGTAAAAATATATTCAATCAGAAAGCCTTGTGTACAATGAATGCATCAGTTTCTTGAAATTTTTGATAAACTACATAAAAATTCAGAGTGGTATATGGAGCCTTAGTCACGAGCTTGCATTTTGAGTTGGACGTGTGGAGAACCACAGCTTGAGGCTGTCATCGTAGCGATGGTCTCCCGCGTCCTTGATTGAGCTTAAGCGGTTCCAGACGTTCTTATCGATGAGTTTGATGAGGCGGGCGCGCGGAGACGGCAGTTCTCCGTGTCTTCTTGTGTTTCTCTCACGCCATATGTGATATTTGGTGGCTTGGAATACATACCTGATCAGAAAGAGGCGAATTCGCGGAGTGGTGCGGTTAGTGAGAACATCAACCAACCGACTCCAGTCCGTGGAATAGTCGACACTTAGTAGACTTTGTGCGAGGTTCTGCCAAATTACAGCAGTGTATGAGCAAGAGAAGAACAAGTGGTCTCTTGTTTCTTCGCAGCAGTCACAAAAAACACAATCACTTCGTTGTCCCGAGTTCCATCTTTTGATGCGATCTCCTGTTGTTAATCGATTATGAACTACAAGCCAGAGTAAGAACGAGTATTTAGGGGTTGAAAATGGGAACCAGACCCCTTTATACCATTTCACTTTCTGGTCATTACTGCGGATGTTGTTCCAAGTGTGTTTTGTTGTAAAGTGTTTGCTGAATTTATTTCCGGAGGCTTTCCATAGCGGAATGTCATGATCCTCAGCCACACCAGCTCGTTGGCGGTTCTGAATCTCTGCTTCAATCTCATTTAGCACAGTTAGTCGGTGTTTGCGAATCCGACGAGGCTGCAGCACTTCCCCAACTGTTGCATCAAGAGAGATACCCATATCAACAACTCCCCTAGTTCCTGTGATGTCAATTAGCCTGCCCAGATGTGACCATGTATCATACCAAAATGATGTCGACTTACCATTTCTGACTTCTACTTTGTGCATTTCTTTCGCAGTGTCTCTGTATTTAAGCAGTTTTTTCCACATCCAAGATCCCAAACTAGAGCTTTCTTTTACCGACCAGAATGATCCTTTTCGAATGAGATACTTCCAAATCCAAGTTACCCACATAGATGGCTAGCAGTCTTTTAAACGAGAAACGTATCTAGCTTTCTCTTTTTAATTATTTTCGAGATATCCTATGAGAAACGTGCATTAGAGCTGCATTAGAGCTGCTCTAATTTTGTTTGTATCAAAATAATAATATATTCATATATCCATTTATCTTGCAAGTTTTTCATGCATTGCTAATTTAGAACGTTAGTTGTTCACTATAAATAAGATGGCAATTTTATTTGTAGTAGCGTAATGAATTAACTTGTCTGTCTATTTATTTGACCATACTATTTTATCATGCTAATTTGATACAATACCAGATATTTGTCCCATCGACAACATTCAAATATAGAAAATAATCCATTTATATCGATTTTGCATCCATTTATTGTTCATTTATACATCATCAACTTAGTACTAATTAATAGTACATCATAGGTTAATATAAATAGAACACGCTAATTTTTTACATAGAGTGGTTATCAATATGATTCGAGTGGAGAGTTTTCTAACTCGATATGCCCTACAAGCTACCGTTTACATGCTCTGGAGGGAACGGAATGGTCGTCGGCATGGCGAGGATCCACACCCGGAAGCATTCATCACAGGGTGGATAGATAAACAAGTCAGAAACCGGATCACAACTCTTCGGCATGGGGGATAGAAGATATGACGAGGCGTACCAAATGTACTCACTCGGAGCTAATGTTTTCAAAGTTTCATAGGTATTTTCTCAGCTGATTCTTTCAATTCTTTTTCAAACTCACGAAACACTTCGTTGTAAAAACGTTTATTTTTTTTTTGAATATAATTTAACATTACATTCAAAAAAAAGAAAGTAAGTTAATTAATCTTTTTGTGTGCAAAGTTCTTGTAATGTAGATATGCATATGATTAAAGTGATGGTGTGGTGGCTCAGAAAGGTAATAATTGGTATAAATCTGGTCGAGAATATGGTGGAGACCGTGGTAGTAACACTTCTAGAAAAAGAGGATACGACGATGGTGGTCGAAATATACGCAATGTTAAAATGGTTTATCTATCTTTAAAATGTTTTTAACATATTTTATGGTACTTATATATGAAATTTGTACCAAAGTTTAATTTTGTATTAGCGTGTTACCAACAAATGTAAAAGTCCAAATATCTACATTGTGGTATATGGTTGGGTTTCCGACATTCTTCACATACAAAATTTATGTTATCTAAAAAAAAAAAAATTATGTTATCTCATAGACAAATATGAGTTTTATATTACAGGACAACTAAGGGCATCCGCATCGGTGAGAACCGGTCAGAGTTTCTAAAAACAAAAAAAAAAAATTATATTTTAATTTGTCATGACACCTAAGACCATCTCTATTGGGAGTGTTTAGGTGAGACACTCTCCAATAAACAGAATAAAAAATTAAAAAATGAGGAGAGGGGACAGAAACTGTTTCTCATTTGAGAAACTCTAAGACACCCATTTTTACAGTTGTCTTCTTCTGATTGGTTTAAATAAACAATTAAATAATAAAATAATTAAATAATAAAAAATTAATATTATTTTATTTGTTAGACACTCAATAGAATGTCTGACCGATGGAGATGCTCTAAGATTTGTGTCTCTCATGAGGTTCTACGATGTTTTGGTTTGAGAACCCCTTTCTATCCTCTTTCATAATTTTTTTATTATTTTTAATTTTTAATTATGAGATACTCTTTTAGAGACTGTGGATGAAAATAGTCTAATAGTCTTACATATCATGTAGAATATTTGCGTTTTATACCCTAAGATCAGAAAATATTTAAATCAAAAGATAAATGGCAAACCTATATATAAGTGATCTTTTGAAAACATGACAATTTTTTGGTCAAAAGATAAGTGGCAAATCATCAAATGCTCTTAATCTTGGTCTTTTAATAGTTACATGTTTGAATGGTAATTTGCTCAAAGAACTAATTAATTAACTTTCAATCTTAGTTTTTTATTTTTATTTTATTTTTCCATCTTCTATATACTGTATATTGATCTTTTCTTTTTTTTTCGTCTTACAATATATTAATCTAGAGAGCCGTTAATCAACTAAAATCTTACAAACTTTGAGAATATCACATTTAAATTTTATATTTTAAGTTATTTAAATTTTTTGTATTTGAATTTCCTTATTATTGGTTTAGTGATGCATGTAAACAATGCATTTATTGAATTATTAAATAGTGTTTTTATGAGAAAAATGCGTTATATTTTTGTCACTTCAAGATAGTACACAAGTTTTGTTTGCTTAACATTCAGTGCCGGCGTTTGGGGTGTGCAAGTGGAGCAATTGTACCGGGTCTAATTTTTTTGGGTAAATTTAAGGGCCCAAATTTTTTGTTTTGTATAGGAAAAAATGTAATTTTTAAAACTTTAAGATATCTTTATCATAAAAAAAAGCCTAAATATTTTATTTATTATGAAAGTGGTTAATTTTTAAGTTTTTTAACATGAAAAAGGCCCAATTTTTTTTTTTTTTTTTAATGAAAAAGGGTCAATTTTTAAGATTTGTATCGGGACTCAAAATTAATTGAGCCGGCCCTGTTAACATTAATAGAAGTCAAACTAAAATGTCTATATATCTCCTTGTGTCAAAATAAGATAAATCGTTGGAGGATATTCTCTAATATGTAGGCGGCCGAGAAATGAAAGTGTATTATTAACATAGACTGCTGTGTTGGTACTTCTAATAGGTTAGAATGCCATCGATGCGTCGGAAAGGAGTCTCGTATGTATGTTCATGGAGAACATACATGTTATTGTGTATGCCTCAAGGCAGTTGTGAAAGCATGAGAATGAGATTAGTTACTCTACCCATGACCTAGTTAGTGTTAGAGTAAAATTCTTTTAAAGGTAATGGAGAAAGTGTTTAAGTGTTTGAGAGAGAGTTTTAGGAAATAGAACTTTTATTACTTTGATTTTAACTTGAAGACAACTTAACAATCTTACAACAAATGAGAGAGGGAAGAGGTATTTATAGCTTCCAAACTACAAAATATCTAAAATATTTTAATCCTAAATCTAGATTATTCCATCATAATATAGATTATAATAATACAATTATCTAGATTATTCTATAAAAATATCTAGATTTTTATGTTTAAGGAGGTGGAGATGGTTCTAGAGAATTTCTAGAACTTTTTAAGGAGGTGGGATGATGATATTTCTAGAGAAAACTCTAGAACTTGGATTTGGCCCATCAAATGATTATTGGGTAATTGACCCAATAATTAAACTTGATTCAAAATCAAGTTTAACTTTCAACAGTTAGCAGCTTTGGTCTTAAATTTTTAGCGAGCATATATGTATGGGGAGGAGGTATATATTCAAAGACCATAACAGTTTGAAGTAAATCTTCCCTTAAGGAGCCTTATTACTTGTGACAACATAGATGGGTGGAGTTGCTAGCGGGTTACAATATGGAAACCGCAAATACAATCCATGAAAAGTTAACCAAGTGATAAATGTATTGAGTTAGACGAGGCCGATCGTGGCAGACGTTAAGACGCGGGAGAGCTCACGGACGAAGCATAATCCGCATTCACGGATGCACTGAGACAAGACAATTTATGGAGCGTTTAGGAAGTCCAAAAGAGATACCTGGCTTTGAAGAAGTTCATGGAAACTTTCAGATCTAACAACCTTTTCATTGTTTTAGAATTTATGCTTCATTAACTTGTAAATTAACAATGAATGTTGTTTAAATACAAACACCTAAACCAGCAAAACAATTGTAAACCAGAGGCTAAAGTAAACCAGGACATTAAACCATGATATAATCTAATACTCCCCCTCAAGATGGAGAGTACAGGTGATGTAATCCCATCTTGGACAATAGGTATCTGAATTGTGCTGCAGTGAGAGGCTTTGTGAACACATCGGCCAACTGATGCTCAGTATTAATGTGAAGAGTCTTCAGAAAACCAGAAGCAACTTGTTCTCGAACCACATGAACATCACAAGTGATGTGTTTGGTACGCTCATGGTAGACTGAATTCTTGGAAATGTGTAGAGCAGCCTCATTGTCACAATAGAGAACAATAGTATCAAGCAATGGAACCTGCAAATCTTCTAGTAGAGAATTAATCCAAATCAACTCACAGGTGGCATTAGCCATGCTTCTATACTCTGCCTCTGCAGAACTGCGGCTAACAATGTCTTGTTTCTTGGATTTCCAAGATATTAATGAATCACCAAGGAAAACACAGTAACCAGAAATAGACCTGCTACTCTCCGGGCAATTACTCCAGTCAGCATCAGCAAAACCCCTAAGAGTGAGAGTAGAAGTAGAAGGATAGAACACACCTTGACCTGGATCATTCTTTAAATAACGCAGAATCCGATGTGCAGCCATAAGATGTGGTTCCCGTGGTGAATTCATGTACTGACTGAGCTTGTTTACAGCAAAACAGATGTCTGGTCGAGTGACAGTCAAGTAAACCAGCTTACCAATGATTTTCCGATAAAGAGAAGCATCAGAAATCAGTTCACCAGAGTCTTGACTCAACTTGATGTTCAACTCCATAGGTGTTGGCATTGGTTTACATCCTAGGAAGCCAAACTCTTCAAGAAGCTCTAAGGTATATTTTCTCTGTGAAACTGAAATCCCTTCTTTGGATCTAGCAACTTCCAAGCCAAGAAAATATCTCAATTTTCCCAAATCTTTGATCTTGAACTCTTTAGCCAACAATGTCTTGATATTCTGTATCGCAGCAGGAGTGTTGCTAACAAGCATAATATCATCGACATATACCAACAAAGCCAGAAAACCTTCAGTATTTGATCTCACAAACAAAGTTGGATCAAAAAATGACTGTAGAAATCCATTCTGCAAAAGAACACCAGAGAACTTGTGAAACCATTGGCGGGAAGCCTGTTTAAGGCCATAAAGTGACTTTTTTAATCTACAAACTGGTTTCTCTGGCAAAAGCTCCCCCTGTCTTGGTGTATACCCCTGTGGCAAATGCATAAAAATCTCCTCTTCTAAATCACCATGGAGAAATGCATTTGTCACATCCATTTGATCAATTATCCAGTTATGAATAGCAGACAAAGCAAGAATTAATCTGACAGAAGTAAGCTTAGCTACAGGGCTAAAGGTATCAAGATAATCAACACCTTCCTGCTGTGTGTAGCCCTTTGCTACCAAACGGGCTTTGTATCTCTCAATAGACCCATCTGACTTATATTTGATTTTATACACCCATTTACAACCAATAGCGTGTTTCCCATCAGGTAAAGAACAAATTTCCCAAGTAGATGTACTTACAAGAGCATCCAATTCCAAGTTCATCGCATCAAGCCACTGTTTCAGCAACACTACCTCTTTAAAAGAGTTTGGTTCTTTCTCAGAAATAATGGCAAAACAGAACAGACGATACTCATGAGAGAGTTTATCGTAAGACAAATAAGAAGAGAGAGGATGAGCAGTACCATGAAGAGAAGGAGAAGGCTCTTTGGAAACAAGAGATCAATGGTACTGTGAAAGATAACTAGGGGCACGAGTCTCTCTGCGTGGCCTGAGTGTGTTATTTATGCCATCCTGAGATTGAGCATTATTATCTATAGTGTTTGATGGATTGAGGGAACGTGAGTGTGTGATGTCTGGAACAGTAGGTGACTCAATGATAGGAACATTCTCAACCATGATGGTATTAATATCATCATAAACTTGAAAATTTTGTAAATTCTGGTTTTGATTTTCAGAAACAGGAAGAATTGACTCATCAAAGAAAGAAATACTATGTGGAACATAATTATTAATAAAAGGGAAAATGTTTTCATGAAATTGCACATTACGAGAAATAGAAAGAGTATTTGATTCAAGATCTAAAACTTTATATCCTTTAAAACCAGGTTCATAACCAAGAAATGCACATGCTCTTGCTCTCTCAGTGAATTTATGTCTAACATGCTGATGAGTGGATGCATAACAAAGGCAACCAAAGACTCTAAGAATACTGTAATCAGGTAGTTTTTTTATGCAATATCTCAAAAGAACTCTTGTTATCTAAAACAGAAGTAGGAATTCTATTGATCAAGAAAGCAGAAGTGGCAACACATTCTGGCCAATATGCAAGGGGAATATTAGATTGAAAATATAAAGATCTTGCAACATTTAAAAGATGTTGATGTTTGCGTTAAACTACAGAGTTTTGCTGTGGAGTATATGCACAAGAATGATAGTGAATGATGCCATGTTTTGCTAATAAATCTTTGAATTGAAGTTCTGGTGCATTATCAGATCGTATGCTTTTAACTTTTAAACCAAACTGAGTATGAACAAGATTTAAGAATTCAGGAAAACATTTTGAAACATCACTCTTTAAATGAAGAAAATATATCCATGTAAAACGAGTGCAATCATCAACAATAGTAAGAAAATAACGATATCCTTTAACAGAAGTAATGTGAAAAGGACCCCATACATCAATATGAATCAAAGAGAAAGGTTCCTCAGAAAGTTTATTATTTGAAATAAAAGGCAATCGTTTTTGTTTTGACAAATGACAAACTTTACAATGAAATTCAGAAAGTTTCTGAGGAATATGCAAATTTGAAGATAAAGTTTGAACTCTTGAATTTGATGGATGACCAAGACGCTGATGCCAAAGCTCAGGAGAAACAGCAAAGAATGCAAGATGATGATGATGTGTATCAGGTGGAGCCGGTGGATTTAAGAGATAAAGATCATTGGACTGATCTCCTCTACCAATCGTCCAAGCCTGAGTATGATCCTGAATGAAACAAGAATCATGATAAAAATGCACAGAAAAGTTTTTATTTGTTTTCGTTAAAGAACTAACACTAATCAAATTGAAATGAAAAGAAGGAACAAAGAAAACAGGATGAAGAATAAGCCTATCACTAAGTTTTACTGTTCCAGCAGTGTCAATGGAGATAATGGTTTTATTAGGAAGAGTTATTGTGGTATGCTCAACTCGATAGGTATTGGAAAACATACTAAGGTCACAACAAATATGACAACTAGCCCCAGTATCAAGAATCCAGACATTTTGTGGAATAATAAGGCCTGGTTCGAAAGCAGAAATATAGTGTGAAGGTACAGGTGGTGTACCTTGTGCTGAGATTGAACCAATATGTTGTGAGACAGGCTGAGGACATATAACTTGATACGGAGAACCCTGAAGTTGTCTGTTCAAGTGAGTAACCATTTGAGAAGCTTGTTCCCCACCGTGTGAGCTAGTACCAGGAGTGAAAACTCTACCAGTATTGACCATGTTGACAGAATGATTCACCATAGGAGTTTCAGCAGTCAATTGTCCTGAAGACTGTCCAGGATGAAAGAAAGGACCAGATTGAGCACCAATTGAAGCAGAAGGAGTACCAACAGAAGCAGAAGCAATATAAGAAGGACCAATGGGAACATAAGAAGTGCCATTGTAGTAAATCTGATTCTGTGGAGATTGAATCTGCGGATTGTGCATATAAGCCATCTGATATGGAGACTGAGAATACACCATGTGAACTCCATTTTGCTGTGGAAAAGATTTTGGTTTCTCTGCTGTGTAACCAGAAGTTGGAGGTATCTTATAACCAGGTGGATACCCGTGAAGCTTATAGCATCGTGCAATAGTGTGACCAAGCAAACCACAGTGAGTACAGAGAGGTCGAGGCTTCCCTTGTTGGTGAAAGCTCTTTTGCTTTGAATAAGTCACTGAAGCTTGGCACACTGGAGCTTCTGGTATAGGCAGATTAGTGAAACCTTTTTGTTGTTCATCTTGAGAAATGAAATTGTAGATTTTAGTGAACTCTGGAAGAGGATCCATCATGAGAATTTGGCGACGAGTCTGAGCAAAAAATTCATTAAGCCTCATCAAGAATCTAACAATATTACGCCGCTCATACAACTGAAGCCAACGATCATTAGATCCACAAGTGCAGTGACCACAAGTACAGGAAGGTAGCTCTTCAAAATTTTTCAGTTCTTCCCATAAAGTAGTGAGTCGAGTGTAATAGGCACTGAGATCTAAAGATCCTTGATGTAAGCGATCTAATTGATCTTGAACACTATAAATCTTTGACAAATTACTCTGCCTAAATCTACCTTCCAGATTCAACCATAACAAATGTGCATCATCAAAATAAACTGTTCCAGAACTCAAATCCTTCGAAACAGAATTCGTAATCCAAGTACATACCATATCGTTGCATCGAGTCCATGATCCGTAATCAGCATCGGTTTCAGACGGTTTGACGATAGAGCCATTGATGAATCCAAGCTTGTTTTTCGCATTGAGAGCCTTGATGATAGATCGGCGCCATGTATGATAGTTGGATTCACCGGTGAGCTTGTCAGTGACCAGATTAACACCGGAATTGTCAGCAGCATGAAGATAAAACGGATTCGAGTAAGGATCGGAGCTTATGGTAGCTGGATTCGCCATCAGAAGAAGAAAACAAAGTTGCGCGATTGGAATGAAACGCAATCGGAGAAAAACTTAAGCAAACACAGAAAAATTCCGATCAAAATGAAGAGAATGAATCGGAGAAGAAGAATATAAGAGATTCAAGAAGATCAAACGAAGAAAAAAGAGTGAAATTAAGCTTGCGGAAGATGAATGAAGCATGACGTTGAAGAAAAGCTCTGATACCATTTCAGATCTAACAACCTTTTCATTGTTTTAGAATTTATGCTTCATTAACTTGTAAATTAACAATGAATGTTGTTTAAATACAAACACCTAAACCAGAAAAACAATTGTAAACCAGAGGCTAAAGTAAACCAGGACATTAAACCATGATATAATCTAATAGAAACCAATGTAAATAGGTATCTTCACGTCACGGCTAGTGGAATACTTCGGTTCAAAAATTGAAGGGGCGTTTCTTAGGACAAAGAACTAAAAGGGGAGCTACTGCGGCTAGCACACCGGTCGTGATTTTCTCGATCTACCAGGTGACTAATAAGATATATTGGGACTTAAAGAGGTTCACTGATCTACCAGGTGACTAATAAGATATATTGGGACTTGAAGAGGTACTACAAGTGAAATTGTATGTAGCTGGAACTCGAGTACCTAGTGGTCTACTGCAAAGGTCACCACTATCAAAATAGAAATAGAACATGATAAGTGATAACAATGGAGTTTGTGACTGAGTTTCTAGTAAAAACGATGCAAGAAGACAATATATGTAATGGTAGACTGGTTAACTATGTAAGCTCTATTCTTGGCCATCAAGAAGTCGTATAGCTCTTAGCAACTAGCCGAAATCTACGTGGAGGAAATAGTGAAGTTGTCTAGAAACGGATTTTCGAGAACTTTATAACAGATCGAAAATAATCTCAGATCTTAAATGTTTTGCCAATATTTATGTATATCACACACCGTATAGAGGAAACAAATCCATATAGTTATAAAATTGCACTATTATTAATTATTATAGATGCAAAAATCCTTTTAGTTATGAAAATTTATTTCCACATAATTGCATGCTTTTAACTCTAGTCACTACTTATATATTGATTGTTTCATATATATTTTCGGATAACAACTTGTCCTTGTATCTTTTATTTAATCTTTATTTTAAAAACAACAAGGAAAGCTCAAATTCAACATAAGCAAAAAAGAACACAGAAACGCAAAAAGAATGTAAATTAAAAGAAAAGAGAAAACAAAGCAAAAGCAAAAGAGAGTGAGTGGTAAGGCTCCACATTCAAACTCTTCACTCTTACTCCTTTCTTTCTCTCTTACCACTTCCTCAATGGCTCTCTGTCTCCAATCTCTCTCCTTCCTCCTCCTTCTTCTCTTCCGTTCCTCCGCTGCGATGTGGTGCGTTGCTCGGTTCGATGTTACAAGCCAGGCGCTCCAGGCGGCTCTAGACTACGCATGCGCCGCTGGAGCCGACTGTGCTCCAATCCAACCCAATGGTCTCTGTTTCCTCCCTAACACCGTTCAGGCGCACGCATCTTATGCTTTCAATAGCTACTTTCAGCGTGCAGCTATGGCTCCTGGCTCATGTAACTTCGCTGGCACATCCACCATCGCAAAAACTGATCCTAGTATGTATTTTACAAAAATATGGCTTAACCGGATTGGTTAACTCGGTAAAACTGTCATAATAGTTTTGGTGTTTCTCGTAAGACAGTTTCTTTTTTTTTTGTTTTTTGGAATTTTGCATTATTCATGCCGGTTTTATACATTTTTTTGGTTTATTTTTAGTAACAATAAGCTTTGTGTATATGATTTTTTTTGGGTTCTACCTCGCTCTAATTTGGTTTATTTTTGTGTAGGTTATGGATCATGCGTGTATCCAAATTCTGTACGGTACGTAATTTTTATACGATGTGTTTATTATGCATAATATTTCTGTTCGTTTCTAATAAATGTTTTCAATATAATTTCACTGAATTTTTCGCTGATAAGGAACTCCATCTCACGGATTTTTCATTCATTTGACTGAGAATGTTGTGATCCTATTTCATGCGTCGTACTAATTTGCATGACTTTATATGCATATCCCATTTAATGTTTCTGGACCGTTGGATAATCTTTACGAGTAATCATTCAACGGTAGAGATCCATGTCATCTTTAGTTCTATTATTCTGTTTCGGTTCGTTGGTCTAGCCTTTTTTCTGGTCAGAATGGTACAAGTTTGTAATAACTAAAAGAAAAGAAAATGAAAAGCAAAAAGAAAAGGAAAAAAAGCTTGTTGCAGTGTTCTACTTTAGAGGTTTCGTGACGAACAAGCTTATACAAGTTGATGAGTTGCATTTACTTATTTTAAAGATTCTTGTTTCTTAGGAAAATAATTTGATTCTTTTTTTCCATTACCAATTTTGATTTCAATCCTTTTTAAAAACACTTTTAATTTCAAATGTTGTCTATTGTTGTTGTAATAAAAATATTGCCTATTGTAAGAAAATATTATTACCCACGTTTTCATAACTAAGCTACAAACACTAAATATCAATACACATATCATCATATTAAAATTTGGACGGTGTATAGTGCGTTAATATTTTTAATTAACTAAACAATAATATTTTTTTGTTTAAGAACTAAACAAGAATATTCTATTTCTAAACTATTTCGGTTAAAATTTTGGTTTGGTCATGGCAGTAACGCTGGAGGGTCAGCTTCAACTACCACGGCGGGAGGAACGCCGACAACAACCGCCGGAAACAGCCCAATGACGACATTGAGACCACCGTCGGGCACCACGACATCACCATTTGGAATAGGTGGCGGTGGACTTAATCCACAAGGAACCACTACAACTAACACCGATGAATCTGGAGCTTATATAATAAACAAGAGTATCGTCTCTATAGCTTTATTGGTGGCCTTACTTTTGTGGTTTATATAGGTATTAGACTCTCGTTATAGATATATTGTACGGATATAACATTTTTGTTAAATTGGTTATCAATTGGGAAGATTTTGTTAGTGTCGTTTCATCAGGGTCTATATCTCTGTGATCCTATATAGAAAAGAAATAGTAAAAAAGAAAAATTCAGATCGCAATTTTTAGTTCTTTTTTTGTTTGTTTCCCCCACATATTAGCACTTTCGGGTTTCATTTGCAAGAATTGTCATTTTGAAGAGTTCAAAAATGATGTTTTAGTGTTAATGTGTGATGACACTTTTTAAAAACTAAACTTGAGAAGGGAGATTTGCAAAAATAATTTAAAAAGAATTAGAATTATTTTGCCTAAAAAAAACAATTTATAAAAAATGTTAAAAACATTTGGTCAAAATTTGTTAACATAGCTATAATATAATTCTGGTGATATATATCTATATATATATATATATATATATATATGGGAAATTGTTAAAAATGTCCATTTTGGTATACCCCTTTTCAAAAATGCCCCTTTTAGATGTCCATTATAAAAAATGCCCCTTTTTAAATCTGAAATTTTTATAAAGTTTTATTAGGTTTATAAGGTACTTATGGATTGTAACTACTACTTGAAGACTCGATCCAAGTATTTATAAGGTTTTATAAGGTGTTTTTAAAGGTTTTACAAGTTATTTTAAAGGATTTTTAAGGTTTTTCAAAAGTTTTACAAGATATTTTAAAGGTTTTTAAAGGTATTTAAAATGTATTTATAAGGTATTTATAAAGTATTTATGAGATTTTAGATACATAGAAGTGTAGTTTGTGTATGTTTTAATAATGTTACATACATATTTGGGTAAATCTTATATCTTTAAGAGCATTTTTTATAAGGTTTTAAAGAGGAAAAACGGTCTATTTCCCCCCGATAACTATCGCATCATAACAGATGCAGCCCAAACTTTAACCCCGGTTCTAATGTCCCTGAAATGTACCTTTGAGGCCTAGTTCCCCCCGAAACGGAAGTTCACTTCTTATTTCTCTCCGAATCAAATGTTCGAGAGTTAGAACCACACGAATCTGGGTTTAATCGGTTTACTGTATTGAAAACCCAATGCTAAACCGATTAAATGTTTTATTAACCAGATTAAACCCTAATGTACCCAAATTCAACCCGATTTCACTAACTTAACCAAAACCCACCCCGATTTAACCCCAAAATCGAAAACGCAAACCCTAAAATCAGAAATCAAAAATATCCCCAAATATTTCCGACGAACCCTAGAGAGAAAATTTGAGTGATCGAGCTTTTGCTTCATTTCTGCTATTGTCAATCTCGTCTTATTGGCATCAATTCTCTACTAGCTCTCTGTTGGCTTCTATTGTTTTTTATTCTTTATTCCTTTTGTATTAACTCAGTTGCTGGCTTTGATTTGCATATATGATATCTTATATCCGTGAAACGATATTAGCTTTAAGAGACTCCACAATGTTGATTTCTCATTCTTTGCTTTTATGTGTATGGCAGAGGAAGGAAAAGCTAAATGAATGCTTTAGTTGAAGCTAAATGAATGCTTTAGTTGTTTGTGTTCTGTGCTCAAGGGAAGCTAAATGAATGCTTAAGTTGGTTCTTGTGTCATTTTCAGGCTGCATATATTGGTGACAACATGGCTAGCATATATCGTTCTGAGAGTTTAAAGGATGAAGTTTGTGTCTCAAGTTTTGTAATATGACAAATGTAGTTTGTGTCTCAAGTTTTGTAAAAGATTTTTACATATTTTTGCAAAAATTTTAATTTTTGGATCCTCAATTTTGGATCTACCATTGGAGTGCGAAAAAAATGAAAAAACAAGTAAGTGTCTAAATTTCAAATTTTGCATTATTTATAATTATAAATATGGTTTGGACTCCATGCGAGTCCAACCATTGGAGATCCTCTAAATTACTACATAATGTTTTATTGGTTAATAAAGACATTATTACATTCACAATAATAACACTTTTCCATAGACATATTAAGGACAAAACAATTTTGTAGAGTAAAAATTATCAAATCAGAAACTTTTTACATCGTTGTTTTCATTTTCGGTTTGTCTTTCTCAGTAGACT